CAGGAGATTGCACACACTGGACTTTCTGCTTGGACCTAATCCCAGTGTCTGCCTTGACACATGCCCGTCAGTGACTGGCATGCCTTCAGCTTGGCTTTTCTTCCTCTTCTTTGGTCAGCACAGTTGCCCTGAACAGGAAAACAGTCCTGTAGAGCTTGAATTTGGTCTTTTGCAGAGATAAGGCAGGATCAAGAGGAGGAAATCATGGATTGTGTCAGACACTTACCTGTTCCCATCTTGCCAGCTGCTCTGTGTGCAGGCAGCTATGCATTTCAGAGAGGGGGGGGCATAGTTTACAGAATGCCTGTCTTGTAAGAGGCAGAGCTCCCCAGAGCCCAGGCCTCCTTTCCTGATCAAGGGCCTTTCTTCTAGGGACCAGGCCATGTCCCAAGGCGTTCTGTACCTCTGTCATAGCCTGGCTTCTCTGAGATGGAATGTAGAACTAGACAGGAAAAGCCTACTGTTTTAGGCTCTTCAGCATCCCAGGGCAGTGGCCAGCCACAAGCTTCCTGGTGATGATACAGATTTGCCACTGCTCTTTTCTTTCTGTTCTAGCACAAAGTAGCTTCCCAGAAAGCCCTGGTTCAGGTTACACTGGAAATGGATGTTTGGGGAGAATGGGGAACAGGTTGATTTAGACAAGACCTAGTTCCTGCCCTGAACGTAGGAGGAGTGCTAGAAAGATATGTATTCATTCACTCCATTATGCTTGGGCAGCTAAAACCCTCAAGAAGGCTTTAGAAATTTAAAAATAGAAAAGTCTGCAGGCTGGTATCTGTTCTCATGGCCTTAGCCTAAAACCTGGCTGAGCTCTGTCTAGGAGACAGGAGAAAGAAGAAGAAAAGCAGTGTGATTTGCTGTGTTTAAGGCATGCTTCTTTGAGCCGAAGTTGGACTGATTGGTTCCTTTTGCATCCCAAGTTGTCATGTTAATGAGTCGCAGAGCCTTGGTCTCCGTCTCTCTTCAACACCCCATGGGCTGGTCCTTACCCTAGTCATGGGAGAAAAAGTTCCACTTCCTACCCAGGGGACAGTGAAAGGTAAAAGAATGCAGTTAAATGGCTGGGTTAGCCTGATATAAATACGAAGCCAGGGCAATGCATCTCTTGCCTGGAAGAGAAAAGAGGTGGAGGTCTTAGCAAGAGGTTCCATGTGGAGCTGGGACTTGAAGTAGCCACTGGAAATCTAGAATCTTTGCCAGGCCCTGTCTATTCTAGCTGCCTTGGTTTATAGCTTTGTGATCCTGAAAACCAGCTAAGAAGTGGGGAGCACAGTGACACCCCTGGCCAGTGCACCCCTGCTGTGAGTTTATTAACCCCGGTGGCCCTTGGCTTATCTTTAATAGGAGAGAGAGACGGTCACAAATCATTGAGACTTTTTCAAAGTTGTGGGGTAGGGAGGAGGCAGAAAGGGCCCACACCAGGGAAGCTGCTCTGGAAATAGGTGACTAAGGAAACTAGGCCCTATCTTTTCTGAGAAGTCTAGGGCTCCTGCTTCCTTTTCCCCTTTGGAATTGCAAGAGGCTTTACCATCAAGTAGAGGGCTAAGTAGAGGGCTAAGTAGGGAAAGAACCAGGATTCAGACACATTAACTGTCTTGCCAAAGCCACCCTTAGTTTGCATCCTTCAGATCATTAGTGCTAATGTGAATAACGCTGTGGATCTCTGGCTGGCATGTGTGCCAATAGGCTTGCCCACAGCTGAGGAACATAGGCAGGGACCAGATCTGAACTGCTCTGGTCACACAAGTGGGAATGCACAACTTATTAAAATATTAATAACAACTCTTCTTTGAGCATCCTGTACCAGTACTTTGCCGTGAAGACATTACATTAATTTCTACTCTTCCTAACAAACTTAAAGCAATGCCCACTTAACAGTTGAGGCTGGAAGCAGGTAAACCACTGGCCTGGGATTACAGCACTCATAGCAGGGTTTTGAATCAAAGCTGGGGCCCCTTTATGCCTAAGCCCTTACTCTGTAGCTACTGCAAGCTGTCCTCCACTGAACAAGGCTGTTTGCTGGGTGGAGAAGTGGCTAGTTCTTTGCTCCAGTATGCTTGGAGTCCTGAGGTTCTGCTCTTCTGTGAATAAACCTCAGAAACCCAGGAGCCAATGGAACTCAGAAGTCTGAGGGGACACTTACCTTGTTACTCCTTAAGACTGAGGGCCCAGTGCCATAGAGTACTATAGTTGCATTTGTTTGCTCCACTGACCCCCACCCCAAGTTAGTGGAACTGTCCCCACAGGAGCTCTGGGGTCATCCTTGTGGATTCCTGGGATTTCCCTAACACCAGGTTTCTCCCTAACCTCCACCCCTCCCCCAACTCAGCCATCTTGATCCCTCATGTTCCCATCTCCCATCCCCTCCCTTCAATTCCCCGTCCCAGTAGTGTTGGAGGTGTATGTATACCATCCCAGTCAGCTGTCATTTCCCTGGAAGGAGTTTGCAACACTAGGGGTTTGTAGACTCACAATGTCACTTAGGAGGGCACATGAGGGCAGAGGAGATGTGCCCTCAGCCTTGAGGCATCTCTTCACATACAATAGTCCATCCATTTGAATAGTACGTTATGACAGGAGCAAAACAGACACAAACGGAAAGTGAACTGAGCTAATTAGGAGAGCCTGTTGCCTAGCTACTGGCCTGGTTATCAGCTTGTCCATTCAGGAAGGCTCCTAGGTAGGATGATCACCTCTGCTGCCTTCACAGTAGCCAGGCCACTCCTGCAGTTGTGTTTCTGTGGCTCGAGCTGAGGGCAGGCTGGTTCTGTCCTCAGCCTCTCATGGACACTGTCCTGGGGTAGAGCAAAGGCTCCCTTTGGTTGTTGTATAACCCAGGAGAGGCTAGGAAGGGCTTGTGCAGCACTTAGGTCTATGGAATCTTGCCTTTATTCCTTCTGAGAGTAGACTAGAGGCCTACCTAAGGGGACCCTGGGCTACCTTGCTTCCTTGCTCTGTTCTTTAGAGGTCCCAAGCTGAGCTGGATTTAATTCAGCTATCAGCTGTATAAAGGGCCACTGCCCTTCTGTTTTGCCTAAGATTCTTGGGTGGATCTTTTTTCTTACCATGTTTCCCTTCAGAACAGAAGGGCCTAATTAGAGGATCCCCATTGCCTCTGAAGGGCAGCTAGACATGAACGTCCCTCTTTCTCAGGGAGGTTGACCTGGCTTTCTTCTGCTACCTCCTTTGGCTCAGGAGAGGCAGGAATCATTCATCTCATTGAACAGATAAGAACATGGAGTCATAGTGACACCTGTCCAGACAGCACAGCCAGTAGCACTAGGATCCAAACTCAAGAGTCTCGGCAGTCCACATCTGCTGTTCCTCCTGCCTCTGAAGTTCTAGCCCAGAAAGAGTCTCTGGCTTCTAGAGGGCTTGGGGTGATGCTCACTGGAGAACCCCCTCCTCCACTCCACTCCTGCCCCCTTCTTTATTTCTTGTCATTTCTAGAATTTCCTGGGACTGACCTCTCACTCTCACTTTTTCACCAGGTGACTTTGGTAAGAAAAAAAGAGGTCACACTTGGTTACAAATAAATACTAGGTTGTGGGGCAAAGGGACAAAACTCATGCCCCTCTACAGGTCTGACGTTGGTAGTCACAGCAGTCATGACTGGCTTCAGAGGGAGGGCTAGCACTGGCTCATGCTGTGCTCTCTGAGCTAGGGTGTGGGGTGAACATGAAATCTAAGTCCAGAAGGGTAGTGCCAGCCCACCCTGGACAGCCAAAGGCTGCAGACTCCCTGCTGATCCTGCCTCAGGCAGCCTCTCAGCTTCCACCCAGTGTTGTTTCCCTTTCTCATTCTGAATAGACCAACATTTGCCTCAGAGCATCTTGTCTGTGGATGATGAGTTGTTTCTTTTTGTCACCATATTTTCAAGAATGTGGAGTGGGGGAGGGGAATGAAATTAAACGGGCTATTTTAGAGACCTGAGGCAAGAGCAGGCAGGAGCAGAGTTGGGTAGTAGGGCCTTGGAAAGAGCTGGCTCCTTGATCCTTCTCCTCCACAGTGGACATTGTCAGTCTAAATGCTGAGTACCAGACACTCACAACATCCGGGGACTACCAACATGACAAGATGATCCAGCTCCCTGCTGATTTTCCTTCTCGCCATGAAGTGGTCACCCAATGCTCAGCAAGGAGACCTGCCAGAAGTAGGTGTATCCCACTCTAGAGAGCTGTCAAGGTGCTAGGTCCCCGGTATCTGAAGGTACTCCTGGGCATACCTTTGTCACCTCTAGCTCTAGTCACGAAGCTAATGATTCCTCCTCCTGACAGCTTGCCAGTCCCGTGAGAAGATGCTGCAGCCACCTCAGCCCTACTCATCTAGAAGACACTAACTGAGCACTTACTACATGCTAGCTACATGCTGAGTTCTAAAAAGAAGAGTCCAGTGGTCTGGGAAGAGCTAGGACAGGTAGAATAGGTGGCAGGAGAGAGACATTGGTGACAAGGAGTGGCAACTGTAATATTAGGTGTATTGTGAGGGGGTGATTTGGTAGTTGTGAAAGATAAAGTCCAATAGGCAAAGAGGAGTGATAAATCCCCCCTCTAAATGGGGTGGGGCTTCTGGGAGGAAGTAGAAAGTTGAGCTGACTAGACCTTGTAGGATAATGACTTATCTCTTTGAAAATGGCTAAAAGGATGCATTGCTATAAAAACACACAGTGCGCAACTGTCAGGGACAGGATTGTCTGGCCAGGGAAGGCAGGTCTGCATGGGACATGGCAGAATGGAACTTGACCAAGGAGAGGCTCT